AATTAAATGGTTAACTCACACTAACTATGCGGCTGTACACAGTTTTGAGATCTCCAAATTAAATGGTTAACTCACACTAACTATGCGGCTGTACACAGTTTTGAGATCTCCAAATTAAATGGTTAACTCACACTAACTATGCAGCTGTACACAGTTTTGAGACCTCCAAATTAAATCGTTAACTCACAGTAACTAGGCGGTTGTACACCGTTTTGATATCTCCTCCTTTCTGCATGGAGATGATTCTGAGATGATCTTCTTCGTTTACCCAGACCAGGAAAGTTTTAGCATCATTGTGAAAGATGCCACGACCTGTTGGCCAGTACCGGCAGGCATTGGCTGCTTGGAGAAACCTTGAAAAAAGTATTAAATCGGTTTCACTATAGTGATAGAAATTTTCTTATCTGCTTTTTATTTGTTTCTTTACTGGTATATTTATAGTCACCCTGTTTGTTTTAGACATTCGCACAAAGCTATATAAGGGCTAACTATTTGTGCTAACCATCCCTGATTTTGAATTGATATCATAAAGAGAAAGAAAACAATTAGTCAACAGCAGCTGCTGCCAACTCTTGAGGTATTCTAATCGAACAATAGGATCTGACCCTTATTCTTATAACGCACACATTTTTGCTTATTACAACGGGCCGAGCGTGACTTAATGGTTATCGTGCATGGACTGTAAATCCGAAGATTTACGGTTCACTGCCCGTTGTCGCACTTTGGAGTCATAAAGGCGCTATAAGAGTGACGGCCAATTCCTAATTAGTTCATAAGAAATGATTAGTCCAAGAGCTGGCGGTATGTGCTTTTGATCAGCTGTGTTCCCTCTAGTCTATAAATTCAAAATTATAGACAAATATGCAATATGTGTAGCTTTACGCAATAATTCTGAAATAAAAAATTAGCACATTTACCTGTCCCCCTCTTTGAATAGAAAGTGGTCGTCGATGAGTTGCTGCTGGGTGGCCTTATCCATTCCTGTTAGGGGGTAGTACGTTCCTTTAAGCTCACCCTCCATGCTGCTCAACGTGGTACTGACTTTTTGTTCCATTTCTTTATATTGCTAAAAAAAAAAGGAATAAAAATATTGTTGAGAGATATTTTTTTCGATAGCTATTTCACAATTTGAATGTTTTTTCTATTTCTCCCTTCTAGTTTTTAAGAAGACTTTTGTTGCTTAAATTAATTAACAGAAATAATATTCAAACTTACAAACATATTCAGCCTGAATTGATAATATTCTTAATGTTTTGTAAGTATTCTAATTAATTTCGAGTTATTTTTGGAATTCAGTAATTAACTTGATTGAATATGCTTAGTTTGTGTAGTTATGTACTAGATCAGCGTTTCCCAAACTATGGGTCGCGACCCACTGGTGG